TTCCACATTCGGTTGGGTCGCCTTTCTTTGGGATAGGAACAAATATCGATCTCTTCCAGTCAGTTGGCCAAGTGGTCGTTCTCCAGATTTCTTGGCACAAATATCCGCTTTTCTCACACAGGGCAGCTTGTAGATTCAAACTCCATGCCTTTGCGTTGGCAGGGCAACTCCTTACCACCAACCAACCAAAGCTCCCTATTCATTCACATTACCCTTGTCAACAATCAAAACAATTCTGTGCAGGATCTTAAGCCCATCTGCTGAAGAGGTAACTAAGGCTCACTAAAAAAGACATGACTTACAGGAGACAGAAACTAATAACAGATTAGCATGTTGTTGTTGTAACTCTGTATTATAGAGTCAGAACCGATCCATAGCTGACCCTCTGGAGGGTTTTCAGAAGCAGTTAATCGCATGGGAGGGAGATTGTCAATTCTCCCATGGAGCAGCTGGTGGAATCAAACTGTGTGCCTTTGGGATTGCAGCGCAGCTTCTTGCCACTAGGCCACAAGTGCTCCCTAACTCAAACATTATCAAATTCAAAACTTAACAGACTCAAAAATTATCAAATTCAGAGGGAATCTTGCCTTATTCTGCCACAGAAGTAAACAAAATTATTTCTAAGTTATTTCCAACTCAAAGACTATTATTAATATGATTGTAGAAGAACAAGAAGAGGTAGAGAGGGAACTCCACTATCCATGGTCTTTCAGTGTTTCTACCTCTATATACCCCTGGAGTTCAGTACTGACACATTAACTTGATAGAAGACCTTACTTTCTGTGGGGTACTTTCACAGTAGACATTTTTACACTTCCTACTCACCTGTAATGCTGTGTTGGCTTCTTTTATATCTTCTATTTTAAGCTTTGATCTAACAGATTAAAAGAGATATATATTTACATATTCAGTATACATAACAGTATTCAGGAAAAACAAACTTAAATTAGAAAAGACATAAAACTGTATATAGCATATACAAATGATCTTTTCTGCCTAACAGAATTTTATATATTCCAATAGATTCTGAACATCCTAAAGCAAAAATGTATTTTTTAAACAACGAAAAAAGTTCAGAAATAATGGCATTTTAATATGATTATTATTATCTTAATAAATTCATTGTAATCAAGTTGATTCCAACTCAAAAGACAGAGGAGAACTGTCCCATAGGGTTTCTAAAGCTGTAAATCTTTATGGGTGTAGACTGCTTCATCTTTTTCCTGCAGGGCAGTTGACAGGTTCATACCACCAACCTGGTAGCAGTTTATGAAGTGCTTTAACCATTATATCATGAGGGTTCATTTATTGTAGTTAGAAGAGTTCACAAAACTGGTAGTAAGGGAGCTAAGATTTGAACAATTTTCTGTATAACTGAAGCCCAAATGTTAAATATTACAAACACTACTTTTCTAGTAAATGTAAGAGTTGAATGGTAATATTGAGGAAGATACATCTGTGAAGTGCATATGATAATGATAAAAGTTACTACAGATTATAAAAAATATTTGTACATTTTAGGAATTACAATTAATGTCATGAAACAAAATCTGTAGAACTGTTAAATGGAAAAACCATTTTCTCTATAAATTCTTACCAAAATCACAATCAAAAGACAAACATTTAATTATGTGTGATCTCACTAGAGAAAATATTCTATGCACATCTTTGTGGGACTGTGTTTTTAATGGGATCATAACCTTTCCAGTATTCAAAAACAACTCTTCTCACCTAACCATGTATCTTCAACTGTTAATGGTTAAGATACAATGACTTGTTATTAAGCATCATCTACCTTATAGTATTAAATGGTTACATGATATAATAGGGAGCTCTGATGGCCTATACGGTAAGGAGTTATGCTGCCAACCTAAAGGGAGGTGGTTCAAATCCACCAGCTGCTCCACAGAAGAAAGACAATCTTCTTCCCTGTGATTTGCAGTCTCTGAAAACCCACTCGAGTATCAGCTATGAGTTGGTTCTAATTGAATCACATAAAACAAAAACATGATATATCAATAAAAAGAATACAAAATAGTCAACATTGGGTACTGTCACTTTACTATGAGGTTAAAAACTTGTTTTTTCAAATTTTCATTCTTATTCTCTTCATAAATCCAATCTCTGAGCATAAGCAAATGAATATTTGAGAATGACAAACCAGTAAATTACACACTGTAGTATATAACACTACCAATAAGATGTATCAAAACAAAACAAAGTTAAAGGTACAGTTTGTGATAAGACCAGTGTGTGCTTGTAGGACTACTTAAAATCATTTCTTTACTGTTCAATATTCAAGAGTTCATTTAAACATATGAATTCTTTTTTTATAATAATACTGAGAAATCAAATTACTGGGTCAAAAAAGAAGTAAAATTAAGTTTGTGCTGCTGAAGCCTGCTTTGCCCTGCAGGCTTAAGTCTTTTATCTGGCTCATGCTGCATACCGCACAAATGTTGTTGTTGTTGTTGTTGTTATGTGCCGTCGAGTCGCCTGCGACTCATAATGACCCTATGTCCAACAGCCCTAAACTCCGCTCTGTCCTGTGCCAATCGCACTGTCTCTGACACTCCCATCCCAATTATCCCAGTCACTGAATCAATCCACCTCATAGAGG